AGAGAGAGAGAGAGAGAGATACTTGTAAATTTTTCAATATATCAGTCACGCTTGGGATTTTTCGATTTCGTAAGTGTAATCTATTTATTATTACCTCGAATATTATTATTGTTTTTCAACAACGCGTTTAGAGTGAAACAGTACGCGAATTATACGTTAGATCAAATAATTCAAGTGACAATAAAATGTGATATATCGATCATTTATTAATATTATATTTTATATATTTTGAATTTCATGTCGCGTACTATTAATATAGAAAATAGTGCATAATATGCGCGCGCGATCGTAATTAATCGCGAGTGATGTGTGAGTGCAACGAAGGAAACTTGAGAGGAGAAAGAGGAAACATCGGATGATGATGAATCGTGGGGTAAGTGTAATTATTTCTTAAATATATTATTTATTACTTATTAAAATAATCGCTTATATTGTTTATGCGGCAATTGTTATATAAAAATTAGAGAAAAAAGATTTTATTTAGAAAATCATATAGAAGTTTATATCTATTTAAAGGACGAACAAAAAGAAATCAATGCGTTTAATATAATTATCTTTTCAAGATATTAATTATTTTAGACACTAAAATAATCTTATATTTGTGTTTTGCAAATCAACATAGTTATATATACATCTAATTATTATATAAATACAATGCCATCATTGCGCCTTGTATCGATCAGTATTGAATCTTTTATTTTAATCCGAGATAATGGATTTGTGAATACTACAGATAGATATCACATCCCATTACCATAGATCCTTGAAATGAATGGGTTAGAACAGATTAACGTTATGTTTAACTCTGGACTAGGTATAACGTTCGTCGATCCATTGTGCATACAAGAATGCATACGCACAAAGTTCATATATAGAGCTTAATCATTATCATTGTTATTAATTGGTTTAATATATCTGATTATTTAACGATTAACACATACATTTTAGACCTATATATTTTGACATTTTATTATATAAAAATATTAATTTACTTACGAAGTTACAAATTATTTAAAATATAAAAAATTAACTTCTTATACATAGAGATTTTATTTTTTTATAATATTCTTAAATGAAGTTTGAAATATATATATTCAAAATTAATATAAAATCTATTATAAGAATATATATATATATATATATATATATATATGTGT